ATGTTTAATGCATTTTTTACATTATTAAATTCAATACAGTGTTTTATATTTTTTACTTGTACATCATTGAGAAACTCACCTGGAGTGAGATGGTCTCAGAAGTTTGATAAATAAATTCATTTTATTGCTGATTTTATTTTTTCATTTTTAAACTAGTGGAAAAAAGTTGCAGGACTTCAAAAATATGCTCAGGATTTTGACCACTGCCAGAAAGATATATGAGGGATACTTTAACCTTGAAGTTACTGACAAATGTTTGCACACAACTGTTTACAAGGTAAAAGCATCACTTGTCCTCTTCAAAGACATTAAAAGACACTGCAGAAAGTAAATTTGGGGGTAAGAAACAATAAGAAACAACAATTTATGTTTTTATTAAAAAAAATTTGATAGCATGGAGATAAAATAAGATAGCAAGAAAGTCTATGTTTAATATTGCAGAAATGTTATGATATGTATACATTCTCCATTCTATAAAGACCTGAACTAAAGGCACAATTACTCTACGTGGCTAGCATATGATATTAGAACCTGGCAATACACAGAGAAAAATGCATTATTTAATCATTATTTTTATTAATTACACCTTGTTTACTTCAAGTTTCAGCAGAGTGAGGAAGCATTTAAAGGAAAAAGACACACACAAATAAATCAGCACTGGAGATCAAGGTGAAAAAGATCTCCAAAGCCACCATATTTTGTGGTTCTGCTCACATAGGCTGTGGTTGTGCTCACAAAGATTGGCACAGAGGAAATGCATACTGCAAAAGACCAACATGTTAAAGGGGATGAACTTAGCTTCATTGAAGCTTGCAGGTATTTTACAGGCCGATGAAGTCATGATAAACCTTGTGAAAGCTATGTGGCCTATATAGACAGGACAAAGTTAAACTTTAAAACTGTCTATGGCAGGGGTGTCAAACTCAATTTCTTTGAGGGCTGCATCAGGTTTTATTTGACTTGGAGGGCCAAGGTGCGTGTAGGCAGCTTGAAATTATTTGGGTCAGGTGTGCCTCTCTTAGTCAGAGCTCTCTGCCATTGAAAATGGGATCCCACACTCTGCTTTCAGCTGCCACAACCTCCAGCAACCCACTGCCACTGAAAATAGAACTCAGAAGAGCGATGTGCAACCCTCCCAAGCTCTGTTTTTGCTGGCAGAGGCACTGTGGACTGGTCCTTTGCTGTTTCCAGGTTGGCCCTGTGGGCCAGATCTAAGCACTCTATGGGCCAAATCTGGCCCCTGGACCTTGAGTTTGACACCCTTGGTGTAAAGAGAATCTCAGTTATTCAGATCATTTTTCTCCCAAACTTGCTTTTTCAAAAGGCAACTGGACTTTCTGATTTTTTATTTTTGGGGGGGAAGATATTTCACTTCTCATCCAAGAAACTTCTTCAGCTTCTTCTTCAGTTTTTCTTCAGAAGCAAAATGTCTTTAAAATAACCCAGAAAGTCCAGTCCAATTGCTTCTTTAAAAAGGACCTTTGGAATGACCTTCATTACATTGTTGAATCACTTATTCAGTAACTGAGAACAAACCTAATTTAGGAAATGGAGGAGAGATTATAACTACATAAAACAAATGTTGGCTTTGAAAGTTGGAAGGAAGATTGAAAAGGGACTGTCTTTAATTTTTCTTTGCTAAATCCTTCCCTTTTTCTTCATAAATAATGATGTAAATATAATTTAATTGTTTCATTTGATTAGTTGGTGCCTGCTATTTAGTTCTGGCCTCAACATAATGATGAAGCATTTTGGGAAGAAGATCTATGCCAATAATCGAGCACTGGAGGATAAGATGGAGAAGATCTCCACAGCTACCATGGCTTTTCCTCTGGTACTCAGATACACTGGAACAAAAGAGATCCACACACTGCAGAAAGCCAACATGCTGAAAGTGATGAACTTGGCTTCATTAAAGCTATCAGGTAAATTACGGGCAAGAAAAGCCTCAATAAATCTGGCGATGGCCAAGAAGCCCAGATAGCCCAGCACACAATAGAACATGAAGATGGAACCTTCATTGCATTGCAGAATCATATTTTCCATCAGGTACTGCATATTTAACTCAGAATAGGGAGGAGATGTTGCCAACCATATAATGCAAAGAACTGCTTGAAGAAAAGAAGAAGAAAAGACAATGGAAAGAGCCAATCTTTTTCCCACCCATTTTCTCATTGAAGAACCTGGTTTAGTAGCCATGAAAGCTACAACCACCATAATAGTTTTAGCTAACACGCATGAAACAGCAACGGAGAAGATGATGCTGAATGCTGGTTGCCGGAAAAGGCAGGTTACTTTCCCTGGCTGACCAAGGAATAACAAGGAAGAGAGAAAGCACAGTAAGAGGGCAATAAGGAGAGTGTAAGTGAGGTCCCGGTTATTGGCCTTGGCAATGGGGGTATCTCTACGCTTAAGGAAAATTCCAAGCACACTGATTGTCATGAAGGGAAAGGAAACAGCAGCTGAAGCCAGACTGATTCCTAAAGGTTCTTCAAAGGACAGGAAACTCATTGTTTTGTTAAGGCATCGACCTTGCACTTTGCTTGGATACTGATCCTCAGGACACTTGAAACAATCTTCGGTGTCTGGATAAAAAAACATCAAATGGAAACTCATTGATGTCCTAGTTACCATATTTCAATGAATGTTTTATACTATTGTTGAACATTGATACTGATTCTGGGAATAGTTTTTGGTATACTTATATTAACAAATAGCAGAATTGGAAGGGACCTTAGAGGTCTTCTAGTCCAACACTTTTCTCAAGCAGGAGAACTTATACCATTTCATAGAACTGTTATCTAATCAAGCTACAGTCAGGTCAGCTTCAGGCTTGACATAATAGCTACTTGAACAACATATTAATTAAGGTTTAGCTAATTTTGTGAGCTAATTCATTCTTTATAAAATTCTTCATTGAAAGAAAGGTTTGTTGGAGAAATGTTACCTTAAAAGGTTGTACTTCTGGAGATTCAGCCACTTTATCTGCCAAAATTTTTCTCAAATTGGATCTCTTAGATAGCATACCATGCAAAGAATGTGCCACAGCATAAACCCCATTATGGATGCTGTAGCTGTGCCCTGTTATCTTTAATTGAAAGACAGATTCAGGAAGGTTTCCCAGGCCTTCTTCGCCAGTGCATTCTTGACTTCCCAATGAGGCCAATCCTGAATTAGGAAAAAAACAGTCAAATGCTTGCTCCCAAAAATGGTTTCAAAATCCATCTCTTTGCCCTGTGTAAGATTTTATGGACTGGAGAAATTCCTCGATTTCCATATTTTCCCTTGAATGAATTTGAAAGGCAATGGCCCCATCATATAATTGGAGATTCCATACCCTTTGGGTTCCTGTTAATGTGAAATCAATTTGGCTGGTGGTGATCCACACCTTGCTTATGTATGCCTTTCCCAGATTTGCAGCTTCCCATAAGGATTTGACAGCTGTCAGCCAGGCTAAGGTCAAAGATTCTCCATACAAGATGTATGCATTTGTTTTAATGTCTGTGAAATGTGTATAAAAATCAAACATTATATTGCTAAATTTGCCGGAGTGGTCCAAACGCAACAGTTTTGTAAATCTTTGTATGAAAGATAAACAAATTCCCTGCTGGAAAAACAAGAGCTCCAATTTCTGCAAAAAATGTTCTCCACTCTCGGTGTCTGCAACAAAGGGCCCAATCCATTTCCCTCCCACATGCTAAAGCAATCGGATAATCCCAATATATTGGGGGACCTCATTTGGGGCCATAAAGTAAAGTGAAGATGATTGACTGGTATCAACTTCTCCCATAGGAAATGATCTGTATGTGAGCTACAAGAAAACACCAAGCCATGAAGTTGAAGAGAGTTTTCATTTTGCCTTATGCATTTTTATGGATCATTTCAAAAATTGGATAGATATATCAGAATTTAGTCCTATTCCATAACTTCTCAAATGTTTGAAAATGTAGATAAATTTCTGAAGAATTATTATTTCATTCAACCTTACAGTAAATGTGTTACACAATGGAGTCAATTCTATTCAACAGAATATAGTTTAGTTTAGTTTATTGTTATTGCACATCATACAACAGAAATTAAATACCATATTCAGTGTACATTATGATTATGAAAATAAAAGAAACACATATTCTTCACATTCTATACAATGAATTGAAACCATTTGATATTGAAAAGAAACACATATTCTTCACATTCTATACAATGAATTGAAACCCCTTGATATTGCACTGTACAATAAAATTCAATAAGGTTACTGCTTTGAAGTTGTTTTTCAGCCTATTTGTCCTTGTTTTTATTATCCTGTACCATCTGCCAGATTGTAATAATTCAAAAAAAAAAAAGTGCCTGGGGTGAAATGGATCTTTGAGAATGTATATGGGGAATATATATTTTATCATGAAAACTATTGCAAAAAAGAAAGCCAATATGCCACAGTGGTTAAAATGTCAGACTAGCAATTGGAAGACTTCTAGTCCAACCTTAGGCACAAAACCAGCTGGATGATCTTGGGTTAGCCCTGTGAAGTATAGCGAACAACTTCTACAATCTTGCCAAGAATACTGTAGGGACTTATCCAGGCAAGAAGCTAGCAAGAAAGTTATAACTAAGACCTAGGGAGTAACTGAAAATTACTCAGCCAGCATAAGTGATAAGGCATTTGAGTGCTACTTTCCCTTTTTCTGCACAAATATCTTTCCTAGTTGACTCTATGAATGAATGAATGCATGAATGTCCCAATAATTGCAGTAATAAATGCAGGAAAAATTACAAGAGCAATTTTCTTTATTTTCTTTAGACCCTAAAGATCAGGGGAAAAAGAGAGCACTTAGCCTGACATATTGGGTGTGTCTAGTTTAATGAAAAGAAGGAGTAAGGTTATTATGATAGTACTGTTCTAATATCTAAAGGGCTGTCAGGAAGAAGAAGGGGTCAACCTATTCTCCAAAGGACAAGATGATAGGAAAAGGAGCAATGGTGGAAACTAATCAAGGAGAGAAGCAACTTAGAACTAAGGAGGAATTTCCCGACAGTCGAGAACAATTAATCAATGGAATAGCTTCCCTCCAGAAGTTGTGGGTGTTCCATCACTGGAGGATTTTTAAAAAGAGACTGGACAACCACTTGTCAGGGATGCCATAGGGTCTTCTGCTTGAGCAGGGTTGAACTACAAGACCTCCAAGGTCCCTTCCAACTCTATTATTCTGTTATGTATTCACCATGGAATCTAAGTTTGATTTTGAGTCATTTAAATCTTAGGTGAGATTTGTGAGAAAGAACACAAAAAATGCTCTTTGTTATTCTTAATCAATTGGTTAATCTTTTCATCAATTAAAAAGAACAGGTCAAGGCCCCTAGACTCACCTGTGGAATCTTGTAAAAATCTACCATGTCTGCTATATGGGATGAAGTATCTGATCCAAGTCCTCCAATGATGGCCATGAGATTTCTCCTGATGCCACATCTGTAGTTGGGGGCAAATATATGTGATTTGAAGACCATGTCCAGAGTGGTCCGATAAGTTATCTTTGGATTATGGTAGCTGTCATAGATGTGAAATCCAGAGGTAACATTGGGCAAGATTTGTGGATTATCATTGATCTCCTTCACAGTGAAGACAAAGGAAAGGACATGCTGGTAAAATTTTGTGATGAGATTCAAGTAAGGAAAGTCTTCAGAAAAAAAGTCTATGATGCATAGAACAGTACTGAAAACAAAATAGTGATTTCTGCCTGTGATTGCAATTAATTTTTTTACAATATCGTGCCAATATTTCTAGTCTATTAAACATTTTTGGCTACAGTTTATGTAATACAGTATTTATGAATGATTACATACTTCATTCACAGAATGTTGCTCCAAGTAACAAATACTAATAATAAAGTTTTTAGGATTTTAATGCAATATTCAATGGCAAGTCTATGTTCTAAATGTATTCCACTTTTCTCTTTACCTCTCCTAAACAAATTTTTGCAGGAATTGGGTATGGCCAGTCTAAAGAAATGGAACTAGGGGTGACTTGCTATCAATATTCCAGTATTTGAGGAGCTGCCACAAAGAAGAGGGAGTCAACTTATTTATCCAAACAGATTTAACAATTAATCAGAACTGGAAGGGACCTTGTAGGTCATCTAGTCCACCACCACCAACCCCAAGCGGAAGACCCTACACCATTTCTGCCAAATGGCAGTCCAATCTCTTCTTGAAAGTCTCAAGTGATGGCGCTCACACAACTTCCGAGGGCAAGCTGTTCCATTGGTTGATTGTTCTCACTATCAGAAAGTTTTCCTTATTTCTAGATTAAATCTCTCCTTGTTCAGTTTCCATCCATTATTCCTCGTCTGGCCTACAGGTGCATTAGAAAAAAACTTGACCCCTTCTTCTCTATGGCAGACCCTCAAATATTGGAAGACCGCTATCATGTCTCCCCTGGTCCTTCTCTTTACTAGACTACCCAAGCCCAGTTCTGCGGCTTTGCTCCGCATTAGGAGGGCTTCTCATTGAGTCCAATGCATCAAGAATGAGACCAAGCCGGTTCAGTCTTGGATGAGCAGCCCTGAACACGCACTCAGGGAAGCTCTTTTATTGAACACACATTGTTAAACGTCACAAAAGAGAAAGTTCAGTCTACTTTACATGTTAAAAGAGTGGGGGGTCTCAGTGGATACATTGTAGTGCCCAATCACAGTGCTTAAGGGATACAAAGTAACCAATCTGCGCCTGCAGTCCAGCCAGTAGCCCAAGGTGGGCAGCATCCTTTTGTTCCTGATACCTGCTTTCAGCCTACATGAGGTCTTGCAGGTATCGAAACTCCTTTGCCTAAGTCAGGCTTGGCATATGCCCAGGCTGTTAGATGAGGATTCGCTGCTGCATCTCCTCTGTTTTAGTTTTACGCAGAGGGATTTCTTCTGGTTCTTCACTATAGCCCATACAGAAGCCCGTGCGTATGTTCTCATCGGGGTCCTCTGAGGGTATAGCTTTGTACAGAGATTCTTTTTCCCAGAGGGCATTGACCTGTGCAATGGCGCGTTTTTCTGCTAGCAGTGACAGACTATTGGAGATGGTGCGAACAAAGATTGGTAATATACATGGAAGAATGACACACCCAGCAGCAATAATACCTATGAGCGCTACTATAGCTTGTAATCCTGGCAGTTTTGGGAGCCAGGAGCCAAAGATATTTTTGAGGTCCATACCTTGCCATACTTGATCCGGATTGTAGGTTAATTGTCACATCTCAGTAGTTAACTGCGCTACGACTTTGCCAACCTTGTCAATTTGATGACAGCAATTTGTGAGATTAAACCTTCCACATACCCCCCCCTTCCTTGGCTAATAAATAATCCAAAGCCAAGCGATTTTGGTAGACAGCTGTGCGTAATTTGTCTGTAGCAGTTGCAAGAGTGTTTAGAGCCTTATCTATTCATTGACCTGCTAAATCTAAGACAGCTTGCAAATGAATGATTCTATTAAGCATATATATGGGGGTCCTGTACCCATAAGACCCGTCT